CCATCCATCCATCCATCCATCCCTCCCTCCCTCCCTCCCTCCATCCCTCCCTCCATCCCTCCCTCCATCCATCCGTGCACCCCTCGCGCTGCAGCCGCGCATCCCGGGCCGGGCCGGGCGGAGCGCGGGCGCCGCTCCCGGTAGGGTCCGCCCCGTCCCGTCCCGCCCCGCCCCGCCCCGGTCCGCCCGTCCCGCCCCGTCCCGCCCCGCCCGGCGCCGGGCAGCCCGGCAGAGTGGCGAGGCGGGCAGCGCTCCGCTCCCGGTGCCGCTCCGCTGCCGCCATGCCGCCGCCCGGCCCCCGCCGCCTCTCCCTCCTCCTCCTCCTCCTCTCCTTCCTCCCCGCGCTGCTGCTCCGCCGGGCGCTGGCCGCCGCAGGTAAGGGGGCGCAAGTTTGGGGGGCTGTGGGGTGGGCAGCGTCCCCCTCAAAAAGTTCACCGCGGTTGAGGTGCCCGGCCTTGGGACGCCGAGTTGTTTGGGGTTTTTTTAATTTTTTCTTCAATAGAAGGGGTTGGCGGGGGGGAGCCGGCCCCTCCGCGCCGCGGCGGGGGGATGCTCGCAGGGAGGGTGATGCGGGCTGGCAGCGGGGATGCTCCGGGCCGGCAGGGATGATGTGACGTTCTGGGTGGGTGCGGGCTGGCAGCGCTCCCCGCTGCGATGCTCCGCGGGGACACGGGCTGGCAGCGCTCCCCGCTCCACGGGGGATGCTCCGGGGGATGCGAGCTGCCAGCGCCGCTCCCTGCCCGCCTCGCCGTGCCGCTTCCTTATATTTCCCTCTCTGTATATACATATATATTTATTTTTCTTGGCAAAAGCAAAACAAACCCAGCCCTGTTTGTAGTAGCGCCGGCTGTGATTCCCCGACAGGTCAAATAAGTAACTATTCAGCCTGGATTTTTAATTTTTTCTTTTTTTACTGATTATTATTAAATCTGTATTTTTATAAGCTGAGCGACTGATGGCCGGGCAGCCGAGTGGTCTTTTCCTATGGCTGTTGAAAGTTTCCTGTGCGCAGCCCAATCTTGTGATTGAGATGCACTTAAATCCAGCCCTTCCGTTAGCAATGCCTGCCACAGACACGAAGCAGAGGCACGTCTCTCCTGCTGCCCTCTCTCGTTAGGACTCCCGCGATCAAACTCAGCCTTTCCGCTGTGTATTCCCCCACACACCCACTCCACAACTCACGGACCTCCTCGGCACCTCAGCACTTCGTTCTTTGTCATCCTCCGGCGGTGCAAAGCGCAGCCGCCCGCGTTTATTCTCCGGGTGTTAAAAGGTGTGCTCGAGCGTAGAGCTCGGAAGGACAGCCCTGTGGAGTTTGGTGGCTTTTGGGAGGCTGGCAGAGACCAAAACCGTGTTGGGCGAGGTCGTTATCCCGGCGGGAATTCGGGATCTGTCGCTCTCCGCGGCTCCCGGCGAGGGTTTGAGGACGCATCGCGAAGCACAGATCGGTCTTGTTAAGGAGTTGAAAGCGTCTCCTGACAAGCTGATTTTCTAGGAAAATGAACCAAGCCTTCTTTTCTGAAGCGTAATTAAGGTGACGAGGAATTTTAGGGAGGGAGTCTAATTAGATTAATATTTTTTCCGCCTCCGCTGCACAAAGATCCAGTGTATTTCGGCAAATGGGAAACAGGAATGGCACTATGGATTTATCCGGGGGCCTGGACGTGGCTGCAGCAGCCTCCTCCGGGCAGAGGAAACTCTCCCTCGGTGGGAAGGGAGAGGTTTGGGAGCTGGCAACTGGTGTGCTGCTGCTGGGTGGGAGCGGTGCCGGAGGGATGGGCAGCGAGGGGCCGGGTCTGGGCTCAGCGCCGGGGCTTTGGGAAGGCTGGATTAGCCAGGCTGGATTAGCCAGGCTGGGCTCGGCAGGCTGGATTAGCCAGGCTGCTGTGGGTCAGGGTTTAGCCGAGCTTTCCGTGGCTGCCGAGGGGAGCTGGGGGGATATCGCCGTGTTCGTGCCTGGCTCTGCCCTCTTATCTTCGTGTGCGCCAAGTTCACGCAGGGCTTGAAATGAAACTGGGCAGGAGGGAGGGAGGGAGGGAATGAAGAAGAAAAAAAAAAAAAACAAGTTAAACCTGACCCACCTGGCTCAGTTTGAGTCTGGGGAGCTCTCTCAAGGCACGCTGCTAATCTGGCATATGTACGTGTGTGTATAATAAAGTTTGTAGCTGGAGAGCTATAATTAGTGTTTCTCCAGGAGGGTTGTGTAGTGGTGACATGTGATGAGGCAGAGGGAGCTGAGATAGGTGCTCAGCCCCGGTGATCGTGCACTCCCTTCCCCGTCCTTGCCTGGTTTTTAGGGAGAGGCAGAATTGTTTTCACCCAGAAAACAATTTTCTCTTTTAATAACAAAGAAGGTGCATGTTGTTTGTGTTGGGTTTTGCAGTGTGGGGGTAGAAGTGTTGTTTTGGATGGGGCTGTGAAACCCAGAAAGCATCTGGTCCACTCATCCATCCCCTCAGCACTGCTGAGGGGACCCAGCTCCCAGCATGTCCCTCCTCCCTGAGCCTGGGGCTTTACCTGCCAGGCTGCTCTCCAGGCTCCATCCTGCTCCTCTGGGTAGGAAAACAATTTGGGGTGAGGAGTTGGAGCTTGCTGGAGGGTCTCTCCCCATGAGGCTGCACAGAGGCCGGAGAAGGGTGGCTGAAATCCAGAGGGTGATGCTGGAGGTGGGGACTCTGCTGACAGAGGTGTTTTTGGACAGCTGTCATCCTGGTGAAGGAACATCCTTCACCCTTCTGCCCTGCCAGCAGCAGGAAACACCCAGGGATGGGGGCATGGAGGGGAGCTAGCAGCACTGCTGTCCCCCAGCAGCATGAGCACAAGGGTAGCAGGAGGCTGTCTGCCTGCCTGCTGCTGCCAGCGTGAGCAGATGGCTGGGGAAAAAATGCTCCAGGACCTGTTGCCTATCAAATCCTGCCCTTTGGAAGTGGAGGCTTGAGGACAGGGATGTGTAGAAGGATCTGCTCAGGGGTTTTTTATCTCCTTCTCCTTCAGCTGCTTTTTTGTGGAGCTCTCTCTCTCTCTCTCTCTCAGAAGCCGGTGCTGTCTGTGTGTGGTAGCAGCAGAGGGAAATACTGGAACAAGAACAAAAAAAGGAGAGAAATGGAAAACCACTACTTTAGAGGGGGCAGAATCTCTTGGAAATAGTAGTTGGGGGGGCAGGGAGGAAATCCAGCTTGCATTTACTCCGCTTAGAAAGCAAAAGCTGACCCTGTAAGGAGCTTGGAGGGCTCAGCTGTGCTCTTCATCTCTGTAGGGTCCTGTGGGTCCCTGGGGTGCTGGTTCCCTTTCCATCCCTCTCCTGGTCGAACAGGAATTGTATATACAAAAATATCTAAAAAACAGATCTGTGTTTTGGGTCAGTTAAGTGAGCCAAGATGCTGCAAGGAGCTCAGCTTTCCTTCCATTTCCAGCAGTTGCATCCCCACAGATTTCTCCCTCCCTTTGGGATAATCCTGGCAGCCTTGGGGGGTTTTGGGAGAGTCCTGAGCTGAGCTTTGCTGGGCAAAGCCAGGCTGGCAGGCCAGTGCCAGGCCAGGAATGCTGTGAGGTGAGGATGGAGGGGGCTGTGGGGAGTCTGAGGAGTTCATTACAGCAGATGTTGGTGCCATAAAGCCACAGGTTCCTGCTGTTTCCTATTCATTTATATCTTCCCAGCTTTAGCGATGCTAATGTGAGTGAAAACATTTCCTGGGGGGGCCGGGGGGGGGAGAGATAAATCATCACCCTATTCCCTCTGCCCCCTTCCTGCCATCCCACCCATGGGAAGGGGGAATTAACAGGGTGCAAGGGATGCCTGAGCCGTTCAGTGACTGCCATCAGCTCCTCTGTGGCAATTGGAGGCCCACTGGCTCCAATTTTGGTTTTGCATAATCTGCAAAGCTGTAATTTGCTGTAATCAGTTGTATTGTGCAAGCCAGCCCTGTCTGTGAGTCAGAGCACGGTGGCACCGAGCTGACACAGCCCCGGCCCTGGGGATGCTGAGCTGTGCAGGGGATCTGTGGCTGAGTCCTGTCCCTCCTGGGAGTGCTGGACCCACCTTGCATGGGGTCCTGGTCCAGTGGAAGGTGTCCCTGCCCGTGGCAGTGAGACTGGAACGAGATGAACTTTACGGTCCCCTCCAACCCAAACCATTCTGTGACTCCCTTCTGTTCACCTTGGGCTGAAGGGAGCCTGGGCAATCCTTCCCTGGCTCTGCCGGGGCTCTGGACCTAAAGGAAGCGTTGTGTGAGCTGTATCTCCAAAAAGCAGAGCTTTTGTAGTGAACCAGCAGCTTCTGAGTGATGTCTCCCCTCATGTTAGCTGGAGCACTGGAGAACTCTGTGACCTTCAGTGGGGCTGCTTAGGGCTGGGAATTCACCTTGGGCTGAAGGGAGCCTGGGCAATCCTTCCCTGGCTCTGCCAGAACTCAGGACCTTAAGGAAGTGTGTGAGCTGTATCTCCAAAGAGTGAACCAGCTGTATCTCCTTGGTAGTGAGCCAGCAGCTTCTCAGTGATGTCTCCTCTCACATTAGGCTGGAGAAATCCTGTGTGACCTGCAGCGGGGCTGCACGGGGCTGGGGGCCGAGCAGCTTTGGCCGGGGAGAGGCTCAGAAAGCGCAGGGCAAGCCGGAGAGCCGCTCTGGTGCCTGTCTGACAGCGCCCTGCCGGGCCTGGGCCGGGGCGGCGCGGAGCCCCGGCTGGCTGCCCACCCTCCGAGCGCTCCCCAAATCCTCCCTCTGCCCGGCCCGCAGCCTCTGCCGCCCGCATTTGACTGTCGGGGCAGTTCTGGAGCCCGGGCTCGCTTCTGGGCTCCCTGCTCGGAGGGTGATGCTGCTCCTGGGATAAAGCATTCCTGCCCCCCTTGGGGAGCAAAGCGCTGCAACGGCAAGCAAAGCATCCCGCGGGCTGCAGCCAGTATTATTTTCGAAGCCTCCTGGTTTTTGGGAGGCCTGAGTCACGGCGCAGGAATGCGCTGGGCTGGCAGCCCCGGACCTGCTCCTCGGCGAGGGGAAGAGCTGCTGCCTCCTCCTCCTCCTCCTCTTCCTCCGGAGCCCGTTCCCCATCCCAAACCGCTGGGCTGGGCTGCTAACAGCCACGTGTTTGCTGAGCTTGGCTTTTTAGGGGATTTTTTTTTTTCTTTTTCCATCTGTCTCCTATTTGCCTTTTTTTCTTTTTTTTCTTTTTCTTTTTTTTTTTTTTTTTAGGGGCTCAACCCCCTGTTTTGTTTTTTTTTTTTTAATTTTTATTGGGCTCAGCACCTCTGCTGAGGGAAAGGCAGAGATCAAACGGCAGCCAGGCTGGGAAAAGCTGGGTGAAGCCAGGCTGGAAAACGAGGAAAGGGAAGGGAAGCAGGAATTATTTAGCATGGGGCTTGCTCCAGCGTGTCCTGCACT